TGGCAGGACGAAGAGCGCATTCGCGCCGACCTGGAACTGGAGGCCATGGGAAACGACAAGATCCAGACCTTTCTGGCCAAGGTGCTGGCACAGCGGGCATTGGTGGGGAAGTTCATCAGTGGGGAGCTCGCGAAGGAGGACGCTGATGGCACGCAAGAGGCACTGCGGGAGGTGGGCCTGCTACCCGAGGAGGAGGATCCCATGTTCAAGGATGTCCGGTTCAACGAGCGGCAAGAGCGACTTGAGAAGGGCATCTGCAAGCTGCTGGATAGGGCCAAAGCGGCAAGGGAGGCACCAAACGACGCAGAGTATGATCGCATCGTGGAGGAAGCCAAGAAGCAGAACAGGCCTCAAGCAGTGACCGGACCTCCAGGCACTGGTAAAACCACCGTGGTCGACAAGTGTGTCCGCAGGTGCCTGCGACAAGGAGGCCGAGCGTTGTATGCGCTGCCCACGGCCCAGCAAGCATCCAGGGTCAGGAGCAAGCACCCCGAAGCGGACGTGGACACCTGTGCCGGTGCCTTCTTCCTCTACAAGGATTCGGTGGAAGTAATGGACTGCCTGACGCAGTACGACATGATCGCGGTCGACGAGATCTCGCAGCTCTCCCAGAAGGACTTCGAGCGCATCATCCAGATGTGGGAGGCGGCAGACCGGGTTCCCGTCCTCGTCTTCGCTGGTGATTTCTGGCAGCTCCCAGGCGTGCAGCCCACCAAAGCCACGGACAGCCCGAAGTGGCACATGGTGCATCAGATCGAGCTCCACGAGATGTGGCGCTGCAAGGACGAGACCTTGCGCCAGAAGCTGGTCGCGCTCCGGACCGCGATGCCCACGAAGGAGCTTCTGAAGCGTATCTGCCTTCGCCACAAGGCCTGGTCCGGTCATCGGACGCCGACAGCTTGGGACATACAGCAGCTCTACCGCAAGGTACCCCACACCACGGTTGCCACTTGCACGAAGAAAAGGGCCGCCCACGTCAACGACCTCTCCATCTGGGTGCTCTTCACGACCCAGCGCAAGCGTCAGCTGGCCAACCTCAAGGTGGACTGGGAGTCGAATGCGGACAACTACGACGAAGAGAACAACGTGATCACAGGCCGGCCACCGGTGCCCTTGACCATGAAAGTCTACAAGAATCTCCGCGTGCATCTGACCCGCAACGTGGACAAGTCCTCGGACTTCGTCAACGGCATGGAGGCCACTGTCAGGAGCTACGACCCGAACTCTCGCTGCCTCCATGTGCTCACCAAGACCGGTCGCAACTTGGCTGTGTACCCCATTACGGACTGGGTGGAGGGCTGCGGCTACGTCACTGCTTACCCGGTCCGTCCAGGGTATGCCAGCACGGTGCACAAGTTGCAGGGGGCCGAGCTGGAGCATATCACCGTGTGGCTGGACATTCCCTTCATGCGGGCGGCCGGGTACGTGGCGCTCAGTCGTGTGCAGCGAGACACCGACTACCTCCTGGGTGGCATCGTGACGCGCCGACACTTCGTTCCGGCTATGTGAGCGACCCAGCACACGACCTTGCGCTGCAAAGCAGCCTGCTGTAAACTTTAGACATTTCGACTGCAAGTCGTAGTTGGCGGGTGGTTCCGGCACAGACCTGCCCTGTTGCTTGCAAGAAGCCGATGTCTCATGCTTTGCTTGCTACAAGAAAAAAGCGTCTACTTTGTGATGCGATCTGAGAATCTGAGACTTGAGTGATAAGTGATATGTGATCAATAGCAAGAAAGACCTCGTTCCGTCGTGAATGTAGCTGCTGTCCGACTCGGTCCCCGCAAATGGGGGGGAGCCCACAAAAGCCAGAAAATGGTCGATTTCGCTGTAAAAGCTCAATTAGAAATGCCGTTTCCAGGAATGGTTAGATTTTCTGGGTTGTTGGCTGTCGCAAGCCCCTGAACTGGGGGGAGCTCACAAAAGCCAGACAATAGTCGATTTCACTGTAAACGCTCAATTAGAAATGCCGCTTCCAGGAATGGCCAGATTTTCCTGGGTTTTTGGCTGTCAAATGGGGGGGAGCCCACAAAAGCCAGAAAATGGTCGATTTCACAGCGAACGCTCAATTAGAAACGCCGCTTCCAGGAATGGCTGGATTTCCTACGTTTTTGGCTGTCGCAAGCCCTCGAAATGGGGGGAACCCAAAAGAGCCAGAAAATGGTCGATTTCACATTAAACGCTCAATTAGAAACGCCGTTTCCAGGAACGGCTGGATTTCCTGCGTTTTTGGCTGTCGCAGGCCCAGC